CCAGAGGGAGGTGGAGCAGCACCATAGCCTGGAGCACCGGCGTAGGCACCAGGGGCACCCATTCCAGCACCCTGGTCATAGCCATAACCGCCATAACCATAGCCAGCACCACCAGCACCACCAGCACCGGCAGCTGAGGCACCAGCGGCCCAGGGAGCTGCGCCGCCACTGGCACCGTAACCCTGATCGTATGACTGGCCGCCGCGACCACCTCCACTGGCCCAAGGCGGGGGAGCAGAAGAGTGACCATCACCACGGCCACGATCATCGTCGTTACGCGCCCAAGGTGCAGAGCCGCCAGTAGGACCGCGCTCCCAAGGCTTGAGAGGGCGTTCTCCTCCATAGTTGTCACCACCACTGCCACCATTGTTGTTGTTATACTCGATTGCGCCACGAGGTTGTCCACCAGCACCACCCATTTCAGCCATAAAAGCATCAAGTTCGTTCTCAGGAGCACCGCCAATTCTTGCAGGCTGACCACGGTCGCCAAAGCGGTTCTCGTTGCGCCAAGGCTGTCCAACCTTGCGCTCGGGACAATCGCGAGCCATGTGACCAGCTTGACCACAGACGCGACAGATGATGCTGGCAGTGAAGTTTTGCTTCTGTGGACAGTCGTACTTGCGATGACCAATCTCTCCGCAGTTTTGACAGGCTTGGTTCTCGTCGTCACGAAGGGTACCGTTAAGGGCGGCAAGCTCGCGGAGTTGGTTGCGCTTGAGTTCGTTCTGGCCTTCGGGAATGGAAGCAGCCTGAAAATGTTAGTACTGTTGTAGGATATGGGAGTCCAGGAAAACTTACAGTCTCAATGACATTGTGGATGAGCTTCTTGGCCTTGTTGACCTTCTCCTCGGTGTCGGCCATAATCAAACAGTGCAGATCCTCTTCCTGGTTGCTGGTGTGAGCTGCGTCAGAGCGTCCTTTGCCCTCCTTCACGGAGCCCTTGCCACGGATTGCAATCTTTGCCTGGGATTCTGTCTCCATCTTTTTGAGCGTGTTTCCACGAGGGCCAATGAGTAGACCAACTGTTAGTGCAAAAAGCTGCGGTTAGTTTATGATCAAAAAAATAATGTATGAGCAAAAGGGTTAGGGTTAGTGACATAGCTATACTGCAGGTGCCACTAGATGTGCATAAACATCCAGCAGTCTGAGCAGGCTGGTCAAGACAAAGGCTGGGGTAGAGCAAGACGAGAAAAGGGGAGTTAGAGGGGTTAGTTTCGTACTGAAGTTAATCTCCGGGTAATCATTGACCGGAACATAGACTTTCTCCTGTGTCTTAGTAGGGCGCCTGTAATCGGCAGGTGGATGGTAGTTAGGGAGTGTCTTCATCGCCTTCTCGACGAGCTTGTGGCGCTCATCTTCGAGGCGCTTGCGGTAGCGGAACTCGCGGGTATTGACACGGCGACCGAAGTTGTCGTACTGCGGTGGGGGCGAGGGAGATCTATACCAGTCAGCTAAGGAACGCATGCAGGGAAGAAAACAATCGGGTACGTACCTGTCACCATCGGCTGGAACAACATCGTTGATCTTCAGTTTTTGGGTGATTTCCTCGATTCGCAGATGCAAAGTATACGCGTCAAGCTGCTCAGTGGTCATGGCGGAATAGATAGCTGTAGGCAGCCCCATCAGGCCAGCAGCCTTGTTCTCACTCGCGTCGCCCCATCGGTTTCGCTTCTTGCGCTGTCGCGGAGCATCGGAACCTAGAATGAGCGTGTTAGAGAGCATCGAAAGCACGTATGGGAGTTGACTTACTGCGTTCTGGGCTGCGACCGCGCTTCAGCTCGGACAGACCCTCTGCGGGTGCTGAGGGATTGTAACCGCCATCGTCGTCGCCTCCGCCGAACCTACGGCGAGTTCCTAGAGGAATATTGTTAGAACCGGTAATTCCTTGGTTGCGCCACGACATGTTTGCGGTGCTGCGAGAGGTTCTTGGTGAGGTGTTGAAAGAGTCGACGCAGCCTTTGCGATGGGGCGAATGCATTGGCGAGTCTCACGTGTGGCGCTAGTGCCGGAGTGAGCGTAGCGCCAAGCGGGTGTCCCAGATGTACAGCTCTTCGCCAACCGTCGTCACCACTCCTCGACATCACATACGCCCCCGTCGCCACATCCACTGCACGCGTCCATCTCAAGAAAGATCTCCAAAACATTCCAGACGACTCGTCGATTACATAAATCACCGCAACTATGTCGACCGAACTCTGGTGAGTCCTTGCGGAGCTCCCTTGTCTATGATGCAGGCAGCTTCTAGCTTGCCTCTCAGGCATAAGCTGGACCTGCTATTGTCACCAGCGTAGCGGAGAAGCTTCTGTTATGATAGATATGAAGAACTTGAGCTAACAAAGCTTCTGTAGCCCTGCCTATGCTGTAAGTACTCGAGTACCAACCTCCGCTCCGCCTTCCGACGGACGCGACCAGAACCGCGACGGCACTGCTTCCATCGTCGTAAAACGATGCGACGACTATCGTGCGACATTGCAGGACCTGGGCTAATGATCAATAGCCCTTCTTTGGCGCGATGGGCTGCACGTCAGCTATCGTCTTCGCCTGCTTCGGCGCCGCCTACGGAACCGCCAAAGCTGGTGTCGGTGTCTCCGCCATGGGTGTCCTCCGCCCTGACCTGATCGTCAAGAGTATGTTACGCGCTATGCGAACCTGATCGCGAACTTTGGTATTGCATGAATGGAGCTAACAGGTCGTCCAGACATCATTCCCGTCGTCATGGCTGGTATCATTGGTATCTACGGTCTCGTCGTGTCCGTTCTTATCTCCAACGGCCTGAGCCAGCACTCTTCGCTGTTCACCAACTTCATTCAACTCGGCGCTGGTCTTGCCGTCGGTCTCTCGGGTATGGCGGCTGGTTTCGCCATCGGTATTGTCGGTGACGCTGGTGTACGAGGAACTGCCCAGCAGCCCAGGTTGTTCGTCGGAATGATCCTGATTCTCATTTTCGCCGAAGTCTTGGGTACGTTGCACCCGATCAGATTCTGCACGAAGTCCATTACTAACGCGCGTTTAGGTCTTTACGGACTCATTGTTGCCCTGCTCATGAACTCCAAGGCTGGTGGTGCCGACGAGTGCTAGATGATCACATAGCCTACGATTGCAGACGCGATACGACAACATTTATCTGCAAGAGACAAGTATTGGCATTGATACATCGAGTGCGACGATATGTTCTGTATGCATGGCGCGCACAGCTGACATGTGCGGCATGTTGTAAGTGTGCTATATGTATCTCTTTGGAAGAACGGACAAAGACTGCTTCTACGACAAGGGAGCGAGAGGGGAGTAAATAATGGCACGGGTTGGCGTGCATTTGGCAATCCATTTGACGGCGTGTATTCTAGGGTCTCATCAATTTCATTCTGCGCTTGTAAACAAAATGTATGTGTCTTGTTACTGTCCTGGTTTTGTAACGTGAATTGCAACATGTGTGCTTCAAGAATCCCACCACCAACAATTGTTCCAATGATGCAAATGTAATCAAGGCAACTTTGAATGGAGGCATATTGCCCAATCTGCAGCTTCATTTACTGGGAGATGTTTATACAGTGACATGATCCATTGGACAATACATCGCTAGACATGAAATGAGAGGAGAAGCCAATAAGAGTGAAGATACGTAATGATGTATTGTACGTGTGTGCATCGTAGAAACATTTACATACCTGTATCATCTAGCGCTTCCGACCTTGTACATAACCTGAGCAAGCTTCCCCATCCTGCTTGAATAAAAACGCCGCCGTGATAAAAACCCAAACCAACAACACCCACTAATGCAAACACGCGTGTACTCTCCCATTTCAGTCGTCACCACCAGCTCTCTTCGGCTTGGCTGCTTGCATCTTCCCGAGTATAGTCTTACTCTTGGCCTTGCCCTCGACATGCTCAGCGCTACTGAGGCTACTGTAAAACGACCGCACCTTTTCGTGAGCAATCACCTTTCTCGGGTCGAAGCGAAGGATCTGGAGACCAGCCATACTTGTTGCACGAGAAAGCGCGACGTAAGCCTGGCCCTTTTCGAAGACGCGGCCGAGATCAACACGGACGCGTTCGAGGGTTTGGCCTTGGGCTTTGTGGATGGATAGGGCCCATGCGAGGATGAGTGGGATTTGCGATCGTGATGCTTGGACTTCGCCGTTGGGCAGTTCGATCTTCCAGTCTTCGCGCTTGCATAGTAAATCGCGCGTTGTGCCGTCTGCAATGGCAAATCGTACAACGGGGTATACTTGGTTGGTATTGAGCCCAAGTGTACTCTTGGCCATCTCCGTCTTCAAGGCAGCGTCCGAGGGCCCATTTTCAAGAAAGCCTTCCTCGTCTTCTTTGTAGACGTTGAACATTTGCTCTGTCATGAACCCTGTTATCTTGCCTAGTGATCCGTTGACTAGCGTTTCGTCCATATTTTTAACCAACATGACTTGTGCGCCCTTCTTCAGATGTATTTGCTCTGGAACCATGCAGCTCTGGAGAAGCCTATCTCTTTGTTCCTTGTTGGTAATAGTACCACCATCTCGAGCCTCAAATGTAAATGTATTTCCGTGCAACTGATGCATGCGTGTAGTGTTAGCGCGATCAACTTCTTGTCGTGTAGGAAAAAGTTCAGTTGCTTCAACGCTTTGATCTTCTGTTGGCAGTGGACGTTCTAGCTGCTTGAAACGAGATATCGACTCTGGTGTCAGCCGACCCTCTCGCATTTCATTGAGCATACCCGCAAATACCGGGTCCTTTTGACGGAAGACATGAGTCAACCCAATCGTGTGCTCAATGCTTGTGGTCCATGTGCCTGCGTCAAACGCAAACTTGGCTTGTTTGCCGAACTCCGGTACTGGAGGCAATTGAAAGAAATCACCTGTAATGACAAGTTGGATACCACCGAATGGCCTGCCGTTGTTGCGAATTGTTCGTGCGATTGACTCGAGCTTGTCGAATAGATCGCCATCCACCATGGAAACTTCATCCATGATGAGAACTTTAGTACGCATCCATCGTTGCTTGGCTTTCGCGTTCCGCCGAATCTTCTTGACGAGATCTTCAACCGGCTCTTTACCAAGTCCAATCCCTGCAAAACTGTGCAGAGTAACACCACCGATGTTGCATGCTGCCAGACCCGTTGATGCTGTAACAGCAACTCGATCAGGCTCGCGGGCATATTTTTTCCGCAAACCCGTGATGATCTCACGAAGTAGGACGGATTTACCAGTACCTGGTGCGGTCAGTAAATGAGTCGATACAAGGGAGGTATTTTTTTGCACATACCAGCAGAACCAGTGAAGAAGACGCTCTTTTTGTAGTCCACTACCAGCTTCAGCACATTTTGCTGCTCCTCACTGAGAAATATGCGGGCCACCGTGTTCTTCTTCTTCGTCTTGATAACTTCCTTAACCCCATCGTCAATCCCTTGAGTCGGCCTTGCTTGTGCTTTCATATTCTCTCTGAATGCTTTCTGCTGTTGCTTCAACCCATTGGGAGTTGTGTTCCAGTAGTACTTCGAATCCTTCGGTGCTGGTGTCGATGCTGGCTTTTCGGGTTCGACAGATTGTTTCTTCTTTGGAGGTTCAACCTCGTCCTCCTCTTCCTCCTCCTGTAAGGGTTGAGTCTTTTGAGGCTGTGGCCATGGTAACGTTCTTCGCTTTACCCTCAAGGGTTCGGATTTCTTAGGTGTTTTGAAGTGTTCTATTGGGGAAGATGACCATGGTATTGGCTGGCTACTGTCTACCTCCGATTTGGTGTCTGCAGTTTGTGTCCTTGAATTGTATCCGGAGTCTCCTGAGATCGTCGAGGGTGCACTAGGTAATGTAGGGTATGTGACGGTGCCTTTAGTCGCGGGGTCCTCTACGTCGAGATCCACGTCGCTGTCGAAATCGTCTTCGTCAAACAAGGCAGTCTCGAGAATTCCAGAGCCAGTGCTAGGTGCTTGAAAAGCGGCAGGAAGGTCGTTCTCTTTGTCCATGTCCCCAATGCTGAGTGTAGGGTACTCAAATTCGCCATCATGTGAACTCAGTGACTTGGACAGGCCACTTGAAGTCCTCTTAGTACCTTGTGTTGTGGGACCCGATACTCGTTGTTGCCCCACAATACTATTCTGCTTCGCTCCATATCCTAGGGTGCGCGCGGATGGTGTTTGTGTTGACCCGGTTCGGCTGAAGGCATTGCCAAGTGAGGCTTGTTTACATGCACCGTTTGACGGCGAAGACGACGCGATGGCATCATGTGCCTGCACGGCTTGTTTGAACATGGTCCTTTTTGTGTATAGGCGATTGAAGAGACTGCCGCTGCGAGTGTGGGGGGCGAAGCTGGACAGGCTACTCGGAAGACTGTCTGCCTGGAATGGTGGTGAGGTCGAAGGGCGCGCGCGAGGAGGGTGCGTCAGGTACGGACGGGTATGGGGCAAGTGCGCCCGCGCGGGCTGTACAAGGAAGAAGAGCGGCGAATCTTTTGGCTTGGACGGTTTAAGCGACGCACCTCTCCTAGCAAGGAAAGAAAGCATGCAGCAAAGTAAATATGGCGGCGCAGACAAAAGAAAAGAAGAATGGCTAGGTATTGGTGTCGAGGGCGGGCATGCCTTTCACTGCGCGGTGGGGTGGGATTGTTCCTGTAGCCTTGGTGCCGCCGGCCCGCAAAACGCGACCATTTGACGCGACTTTCGGATAGAAGTGCGCTAGTATCATGATCACGTGCTCGCCATACCAATGCTCAAGACATACGTAAGTAGTTGCACTAAGAGGTGCTTGGCAACACATGACGGAGTCGTAGCAGGGCAGATGGTTGGTAGTCTCAGTCTCAATTTTGACCTGGGTCTTGTAAAACGATGCACATCTGTATCGAAGGATTGGTAGGGAGCGTTGCTTTCACTGGAAGGAAAGAGATGTTTGTTTTCGACACTATTGATTGATTTTGGTATTCGTACAAGTAGCTGAAATGCAGCCCTCACTTTTCCCAGTTCTCTAATTCCGCCAGGGATCTTTTGAACATGACTCCGCACATCATTCTCCCACATTGAGACTCGGCGCGCCCCGCGTATGCCGTTTCGAAGAGACAATGCAGTCTAAACCGAAGAAGAAGAAGAACGTGATATAACAACAATCATCAAAAGCCCACCGACCACAGAAAACAGTCAGAGGGAGCCGTCATGACTAAAGAGTGCGCCGCAAAGAGAAGAGGAATTCGCTTTTGGTAACCATAACAAGATTCAACATCATCGTGGATAGTGAAGAGGCAAATGTGAAATAAGCCGAAGCTCGCATCAAAGGAAATGCTAACATGAGAAAGGAGATTCATTTTGAACCACACAAACGACCGTAGATCATATCCCACAAGAAATATACCGTAGGGTAGCCAGCTACGCCGGCAGACAACAACCCTCACACCTTTTTGGACAACGGGACTAAAATGACGACTTGCCTAAGAACATGAGACCAGATAGCTGATGAAATGTGACCTGAAAATCGGAGCTATCCAAACAAAAGCGCCCTCGTAAACAACAACCGGGCGTGTCGAAAGAATAGGTGGCGCGGCGCTGAACAAAAAAAGTTTGAGCAAGGAGAGTCTTTAGCCCTGGTATCCCCCAAAGCCGTTCTGACTGAAGGCAGCTTGGGGAGACTGGCCCCACTGTGGCTGCTGGGGGGCGCCGCGGCCGTAGCCACCAGCGCTGCCCGGCTGCTGCATTTGCTGCTGGAACGGCATGCCAGGGTTACCAAAGGCTTGTTGCTGCTGCTGCTGCGCGAAAGGTGCTCCGCCGGGGCTGGGTCCTGCCCGCGCATTAGATTGCTTGTTTCGATACTGCAGCTTCCTCCGGTGCCGCTCACCTGAGGGTGACATGGGCCCACCTTGTGGCCCACCACCATACTGCGGAAAGTACGCGCTCGGCGTCTGGGGGTAAGCTGAGTTAGGGCCGCCCGCAGGCGAGTAACCCTCAAACTGGCCAGTCGGAGGACGGTCTTTGCCCCACTAGATTTACAAATGTGAGCAAACAGTTAAGGAAAAGGGAGACGCGAGTCAACCTACGCTGCACTTTAGGGGGCGGCCATTGACGTTGTAGCCGTTGAGCTGGCAGATGGCCATGGCAGCGTTCTCATGCGTGTCCATCTTGATAAAGGCAAATCCACGATCCGATTGGAAGCGCGTCTCGGTAACATAACCAAAGTTCTGGAAGAGTGGCACTAGGTCAGCCTGCGAGGTGTAAGGAGTCAGATTTCCGACATAGCAAGTCGTCTGCCACTGCGGAGTTTGAGCCACGACCATGTCATAGCTCTGGACTCCGTGAGTGGGGAAATGGTGGTGGCCAAACGGAGTGGTTGGCGTCATGCCCATTGAGGCCATGGCCTGCTGCTGGGAAATGGAAGGTTGACCCTTCTGATTGGCCCAGTTGCAGCGAATTGCTCGAGAACCGAGCCACTCGCCGTCCATGGAGTTGAGGGCACGCTCAGCATCGGCACGATCCCGGAAAGCGACGAATCCGTAGCCACGAGACCTGCCCGTCTTCATGTCCCACATGACGCGAGCCTCGGAAACGGGGCCAAAGGTGGAGAAGGCCTGTAGAAGCACCTCGTCATTGACTTCGTTGGAAAGGTCACCAACGAAGATGTGGAAGTGGTTAGAAGTGTCTTCCTTGGCTGTGTTGTTAGATTGGTAGGCCCAGTTTACACGAATTTCCTGTCTTTTGGTCAGAACACAGGCCGATATGGCAACTTCTCTTTGCCCGCTTTCCCCATGACCATGCTTACATTGTTGTGAATGCGCCGGCCATTGAGGGTGGCCATGCCACGCTCGGCCGCACCGGGGTCGTCGTACTCAACGAAGCCGTAATTGAAACCCTTGGAGTTGAACTGTTAGCGGTCAGCGGCACTTGAATTGTTGCAGCAGTTGCAAGATAAGCCCGGCCCGCGCCACAAAGCTGTCAAGAGAATTGCAGCGGTTTCGGAAATGTATCTTACAGAAGGAGAACTTGCAGTCTTGTCAGGGATGATCTTGACACTCTGGACATGTCCAGTGGTCTCGAAGATTTGACGAAGCACGTCCTCAGTGACCCGCGGGTCGAGTCCTCCCACATACAAGGCGCGCTTGTTGGGCTCGGGCGCCGCGCGACGGGGCACGTAGCCAGGCTGGCCGCTGGTTGGGGACATGGGGTTGCCCGACATGGGGGAGCTAATGGCCGTGGGAATGGGATTGTTGTTCTGCGGGATGATGACGGGGGCGAGCGGCGGGGGCGGCATGTGCTGCTGGGCCTGAGGCTGGTTGTCGTAGCCGGGCGCACCGCTGGCGGAGGGCGGAGGGGGGAGCTGTGCCCCAGGGTTCTGCTGGTCGGCCATGGCGGTCGCGAAAATGCGCTCAAGGCAGAAACAGGCAGGAGGGGTGCGGATGAGCAAAGGGCAGTGGTGGTGGCGGGTGGTTCAAGCAAAGAAACCGCGGGTGAGCTCTGATGCGACGCGAGAGGACGATTGCAGAGAGCAGGACAGGAACAGACAAGGCCACGCGGCGGGTGGGCGAGTCGTGGCGGGGCGAAGAGGAGGGTGGTGGGTTGGGTTAGTGGGTTAGTGGTAGGCGACAAGGAAAGTCGAAAAGGGAAAGCGCAAGTACAAGCACAGGCAGCCCGAACAGAGACGCGGAAAGCACTAGGAAAGGGAAGAGGAAACAAGAGGAAGAGGAGATAGGAGATGCGAAAGAGCCCTACGCCGAGCGCGGATGGCAAGCTATGGTCTCCACTTGTGGGGTGAGGAAAGGGAAGAGGGAGTTGGGAGGTGAGCGAGGGTCGCGAGAATTAGGGTCGCGAGGCCACAAGCGCCCAATGCAACGGGAGAGCTACTGTAGCCTACCACCTGCCGGCCGTCGTGCCGGGGTATGTGTGCGCGTGTGCGAGAGCGAGTGCAGATTTGCGGGAACAGGTCAGGCATTGGAGCATTTTGGGGGCATTTGGGATGCCGTGCTGGCAGCTGCTGTCAGGCAAGGCTGGGCGGAGGAAAAGGCCGTAAATAACGGACGGGCTGGTGCTAGTGGCTGCCTGTTTGTGCGCCGGGCGTAGAAATGTTCCCAAGGGCGTGTATTTTAGTATTAGTCGACTGTATATTTGCACCTAATTCTCTAGTACCGGAACCCGTGGCCCCCACCTGCGGAAGCACCTGCAGAAGGCCCGCACGTGTGTCAGGGCGCTGCGCCCAGCACCGACCAGCACTGACCAGCCGACCAAGCACCTATCCGCCGCCGAGCCATATATACTACATACCACTACTGTACGACGGCACCATAGCCAACCACGTCCCCAGCCAGCCGGCCCACCCAGACTTCCTCGCCATTTTCAACATCATCATCCACATCATCATTACCGCGACTACTACCACGACCACGGCCACTACCATCTAGCCGTCATGGCCGCAGCGAACCCACCACCCCCGGCGCCGGGACAACAGCAACAGCAACAGCAGCAGCAGCACATCGACACGCTGCAGACCATGCTCAATCTCATTGTACGCCGCCGCCCAGCCACGCCCCTTTCACGCGTGCCCCTGCTCACATTCCCTTGCAGTTCCTCCACTCTGGCCGCTTCCTCAAAGAGACCCAGACCGGCGGAGGCTCCGGGCGCATGAAGCAGCAACTGCAGCGCGTCGTGCCCCACGCCACCGAGCGCTTCCACGATGCCCTTGACGAACTCGAGAATGAGGTGCGCCTGGCGCAAATGGTGCTCCGGCGCGACATGGCATTGCTGAGGCAGGACCGCAAGAAGAAGGAGGCCGCCGCGAAACAGCAAGAGGTGGACAAGGCAAGGCTTGCCGCAGAGGCCAGGAATCCACCCCCACCCACAAACGACGCGCCGGTCAAGGAAGAAAAGGCTGCCACACCCGCACAACTCGAGCCGCCGGCAGTACTAGACACATCTGAGCAAGCGATGTCAATAGAGACGGATATGGAAGCCGCGAAGAAGGAAGGCGGCAACGGCGACCATGACGGCCAAAACAACAAGGCACCCTCACCGCCCCAAAACTCGACAGACGCAAACATCCAGCCGCCCAAAGATCCCCTCTTCGATGGCACACCGCCAGCCAACAACCCCAACGAGTCCGACTTTGATTTCGATGCCATGTTCGGCGATGCCATGGACACCACCGACCAAAATCACGATCACGACATGATGGACACCTCGGGCGATATCGACTTTGGCCTCGACAGCGGTAACGACGGATCCTCCCTCCTCCGCGGTCTCGAAGACTTTGCCAAGAACAGCGACAACGACAACAACAATCAATCCTCCACCATGGACATGGACTTTACCATGCCAGACTTACCGGGCTTGGATTCAAACACGAATGCAAATACTGATAGCAATGCGAATGCAACTACCAAGCCAGCGCCAGAGCCCGCGTCTGCGCCAAAGGCAGACGAGCCCGCGTCTGCGCCAAAGGCAGACGAGCCCAAACCTGCCGCTCAGCCACCCCCGCCCCAGGAGAACAAGGTGGAAGAAGCGATGAACAATAACAATAACAATGACGATATGATGGGCACCATGGCTGCGGACGATCTCGAGGACCTGTTCAACATGGACGACTACGCCAACCCCGAGCAGTCTTCCTTTGACGATGCCTTTTTCAATTTTGAATAATTGATCTTGGTCAATTGTCTTTTTTTTTCTTTTTTTTCTTTTTCAGAATCACAACGATGCATTAACCATGGAGTTTCTGGGATACTGTCAAAAAAAAGGATGGCATTTGGGGGGTTCTTTATTATTTTTTTATTTTTTTTGATACCCCAGGTATACGTGGAAGAGGCCATCTCGATTTTGCGAACAGCCACCCATAAAAACGTCACTTCAATGTGTGAAATTACTACTACAAGATATATTCTATGTTCTGCACATCTTACTGATTCAAATATCTTACTCGTATTCCCTCTCAAACCCCAAAATCTCTCGTCTTACCGGACTATACCCCGAGACGCTATGTGATCATCATCATCATCATCCAAACTACCCCGCTGAGCTCCCCTTCCCCCCGACTACCCACTAAAGCTTAATCTCTCCCTCGAACCCATTGACGTGCATAAAGTTTGCCCGGAGCGGAGTCACACTAGTGAATCCCTGCGCAACAGCCCACCCATCGTTGCCTGGCTCGCTCTCCTCCACACTCTGGTACACGTCCTTGAATGAAGGCGCCCACTTGAAGTGCTTATGCGTATACCTCGAATGTGGCTGTCCAGACGGCGTGTCTTGTCCCGAATCCGTACCACTTGCTCCCCCGGCATTCTCCGAGTTGGACTTGAGTTCTTTCTTGCCCAGTTTCTCTTCTTGCTTGCGGATTTGACCTTCAATGTCTGCTGGTTTGTCATCGGCTTCCGAGGGCACTTCCACCACCTGGAAACAGCTGCCGCTCTTCCATGTGTTCTGCAACATGTTTGTCCATAAGACCTTGCGCTCTCCTACGTTCTCCACTAGAGGCACGTTGACACTGTACAGGTGCGTGTTCTTGTCCCAGTTGTCCCACAGGTATTGTATGAGCTTTGCGCTGAGCTCGCTCGCGCCGCTGATGATGTTGGCATCGTGGTTGCGGTCGAAGAAGGCGTAGCTTAGTGCTATGCTCTTCATGCCACAAACGGCGGCCTCCATCGCTCCACCTATGGTACCCGATGAGAGGGAAAATATCGCAGTACTATTGCGGCCGTAGTTTGGTCCGGATACGACGAGATCGATTGGCCCACGCTCGGTGAAGTAGTGGTATAGGCCAATCTGTACACATGAGGCAGGGGTCGAGTCGACGAGCACCCATTCTTCCTCATTTGAAGAAGGTGGCAGGGGCGAGTTGTGAGTCGTTCCGTGGTTTGTGAGGCGACCACCGGCGGTAGTTTGGAGGGGTTCAGGTCGATAGTATGTTGGTGATATCTACAGTCTTGTTAAACTAGGCGGTGACGACAAACATACATTATAAGCATTGCTCCAAAGAGATAAAAGATATCCATACCGACTTGCCAACAAGGTGTGCCTTGCCTATCCAAGATCTCTGCGTGTGTGGAAGGACAACCGACACGGTGTGGCCATACTTTTGCAGTGTTGACACCAGCGAGTGTACATACGGCGAGGATTGATCTGATGGTGGACCATCGTCGTTAGTGACCTACTGTTTAGTCAGCTGCTGCCATTGGCTACTGTAAGGCATAAGTCAACTTACAAGAATATGCATCTTTACTTCTGAGGTGTAAAAATGGCGTGTTTAGTGATAGTTTGTTGTGGACGTGAAGTTGAAAGAAGTAGTGGGGCAAACACGAGCAAGTGACGTGCTCAATCCAAGGTCCCGATGGTCGGAACCGCCTCATGCTCGGCCATTCGTAGTCACCGCCTCCATCTCTGTTTGCGGCGCATTGCGTCTTCGTGTGTCGAAAGCGTCTTATCTAGCAGTTTCTAATCGACTCGCATTGGAGTTTCTGCAAGATGATGAAGACAATGTTGATCTATAAATGATCGTGGTACCTGCGCTATGGGTAGATCCGTTGGTGTTCCCTGCATTGCGCCGGCAATCACCGCTCGTCGCGATAGGTAGTGTACGTTATCTCATTCACACTCTGGGGAATGGAAGTTGATCCGAGAAGTCCCTCTTTCAACGAAGTCCGCCGAGATAAGATCGGGTGTCTTGTCGCATCTCCATCCTCAAGGCTTCAATACGTTGCTTGAATTCGGAGGGACAGCAATGGCCCCCCTTCCGAGCTCCGCACCACAGCCGGCACCTGGACTACGACACTGGGAGCGGAGACTAGGCTTGCCGGTTCGTTTAGCCTTGTGTAGGTAGAATACACAGCGTGCATAGTATTTCCCGGACGCGAAAGTGTAGAGCCGCAAGTCCCCTTGGCGGGACTACTATTTTCGGTCTTTGGCCCTTCGGATCCCCACCGGTGACCCCAACACCGTAAAGTCCAACATTCGAAAACGGAGATATCGAATGCATTTATATAGATGCTACAACATGATTGAAAATTTACCAAGATACCCAGTCACATTTTCACATATTCATTACGATCAGTCTTTGAGTTTCATCAAAGCAAGAAATCAAAGCAAGCACTTCTATAACATCTCCACTATCAATATATCACATTCACCACACACAACTCCATAAAAATGGTCGTCACAGTACCCACTGCCTCTCTCGAGGGCCAGGTCGCCCTCATCACCGGCGCCGGCCGTGGTATCGGACGAGGCTGCGCCATCGAACTCGGCAAGCGCGGTGCCTCAGTTGTCGTAAACTACGTATCATCAGAAGGCCCCGCCAACGAAGTATGTGAGATCATCCGAGGCTTTAACAACGGTGCCAAAGCCGTCGCCATCAAAGCCGACGTAAGCAAAGTATCCGAGATCCACCGACTATTCGAGGAAGCAAAGCAGGCGTTTGGCAAGATCAACATTGTCATGAGCAACTCCGGCACCGAGAGCTGGGACAAGACCGAGGAGATTAGCGAGGAGAAGTACGATCACGTTTTCAACTTGAACACGCGAGCGCAATTCTTCGTTGGTCAGACCGCGTACAAGTACATTGAGGATAACGGCCGTATCATCCTCATGAGCTCTATTGCTGCTGGTCTTCTTGGTGTCAAGGACCACGCTCTGTACAACGCTTCCAAGATGGCAGTCATTGGCTTCATCAAGGCTTTCGCGACCGACTTTGGAAAGCGTGGTGTTACCGTTAACGGTGTTGCGCCTGGTGGCATCAAGTCAGACATGTTCACCCAAAATGCATGGCACTACATCCCAGGTGGCACACCTGAGTGGCCAGCGGAGAAGATTGAGAGCCTCATGGCTAGCCACTGCCCGCTAGGCCGGTGTGCGGTTCCCGAGGATGTTGCGAGGGTTGTTGCTTTCCTTGCTTCCGAGGACGGCGGTTGGGTTAACGGACAGGTACTTACTATCTCTGGAGGATCATCTCAGTAAGTGTGGTGTCAGAAGATGGGGTGAAGGAGATGGATGTGGTTTCATGATTGGAAGGTTCTGGAGCACGTGTTTATGACGGCGAAATAGTTGTATGCTAGCGCTCGAACAAAATAAATTTGACTGTTAACATTATCTCCTGCGGAAGACTACCTCTTCTGTGTTGCGAGTAATAGAATTTTTCAATCAACAAACATCACATTCAAATAGGACACCGTCAAAGTTGCTCAGAGACTTCGAAGTCTGATACCAAAGTAAGTTGCTTTCAAATACAAGGGCAACATGGCCATGAAAGAGAAGCGAGCCACTTTACCCATCCACAACAAGCCTGAGCTATTTCCAGCATGATAATTCCGACACTTCGCCATCATAATACATATACCAGATACAATTGATAGCAGGTTCAGTGTGCAATACATGGTAGATTGTTTCTCTTCGATGTCACATATATCTCCCAACTATCTGTGTCAGGTTTCTTTTCTAGGTACGTATGCAAACAATCTCACCAGAATCAAAAAATTGTATGATGCCTAACATATTTATTGGGTATCCTTCGAAGGTGCGTACAATACGCTCGCCATTTACCAGAACTCGTGCCTCAGATGACAGGCTACCGAGCTGCTGCTCTAACTACAAAGACTAGTGTACAAAAAGTAATCGTGTGCCTCGTTTCCTCGTGGCATCTAAAAGCCGCAGCACGTACGTGCCAGATCGCTAAACGCCTTTCAAAAACAAGAATCTAAAGTAAAGGCAAACAGGCATGTAAACAAAATCATGGAGCCATAACAAATAGGCACAATAAAAGGCCTCAGACAGAAGTGGGCTCTTCGGGCGTACCACCGACACCCTCACTCTCCGCTTCAGGGCTTTTGTGAGCAGACCTAACACTGCCTTCCAAGAACCTGCCTTCGTTCTCATGTCCATCAGTGTCTTTGGTGGCGGTACCAACAACTTCTTCTATCATGGCCGCAAAATCGACAGTCATGCCACCCACATTCATCTTCAGCAGCGCGACTGCGTCGGAGCCATTGCTGGCGTCCATACCAGAGCGCTTGGAGTTATCGTCCATACCTAACAACATGACTTCATTGTCAAAGATGTTCTCTCCATTCCACATTCCGGCGGTAGATGTGTTAGGATCCTCATAAAGATCGAAGCCTAGACTCATGGACCCAGTTTTTGAGGGTGAGCTACTCAGAGGCATGTCGCTCGACAAGAAGTCGTCGGCCAAGAGCTCGCTGAACTGTGCACCAGTATGGCCAGGAGGAGTAAAGATAGGAAATGACGAAAAGTCAAAATTTTGAGAAGGCGATGAAATGGGGTGGTCTGATAGAAGAGCATTAAGCTGGCGTGTGAATGGAGTGTCCGGAGCAGCAGTTGCCGCACGGTTGCCTCGAGGAGTAAACGTGCTCCGCGAGGGCGTGGTAGGAACCTCACCATTTTCAGTACCTCGTTTTGGCGTCAGGGCGGCGCGCTGTCGCGTACCAGGAGTGGGCGTTTTCAAAAGATCTTCAGTTATTCGATCTTTCTTCGGTGTTGTCTTAGGGGAGTGGGAATCTTCGAAAAGGTGGTCAAGCTCGTCAACCTCCAATGTAGGTGGAGGTGGGCAGTTCTCCTTATCGGGGTTATCCTGCTCAATAACAGCTGGCTGTACTACAGTCCGCTCGAACCAGTTGGTCTTCTTCGTCTCGCAAGGAATACATCCATCATGCCCTATTCCAGCATTCTCGCATCGGCCGCATGGTCGTTCTCGGTCGCAAGCTCTCTTGAGTTCTTTACACCGTTGGCAACGAGGCTTTTTAGGCGCATCATCGTCATGTGCATGCATAGGAGTAGCGACAGGACCGGTCGCCTGTTGAGTCAGAGTCTTGCGCTGACTTGGCTTCCTAGGCGAGGGGAAAAGTAATCGCCGTGTAGGCTTCGGTGTAAGATCTTGTTCGAGATTGACAGGCAAAGCCTTGCTTCCTCTGACGCCCGCAGGACTTGATTGCATAGCTCGTCTGAAAGCAGCTTGGGCATTGTTGACATCCATTTCGCGTGCGCCGAATGGGGCCTGGGGTGGTGCCATCTCTCCGTCGTATGTTCCATCGACTGATTTCCCACCTAGCTCCTGCTCGGCTGGCATGGTAGATTCTGTCTCTGGAAAAGCAGCGTCAGACATGAGATCATCACCAACAGTCGATTTGGAGCGTGCTCCAATCTTCTGTTCTCGCTTGCGCTTTGCTAGTCGAGCAGACCTGTCCCATACTTTTTGCGGCCGCATCGAAAACTTCTTGATAAGCCAAAGTCCGCATGGGTTACACAGGTTAAGCTCTTGGAAAGCATCACCGGCTTTTGCCGCCATCATGTCTTTGTCTTGACGTGTCAAGTTGTTTTTGAAGATACGGTACTTTGGCTCGCCATCTGTCTCAGGGGTTGGTTCGATTACCTCGTATGCAATGACATCTGTACTAGCCGAATCAGTGGACAGTTCAATGCCACTAGGTGAACCATTTTCCACTCGGGTGTAAGCTTTTCTCCAGGTAGGAGTGTCGATTTCTCCGCAGTTGACACAGTGCGGTGGCATTTCACCTTTTCTGATAGCAGCGTCCAATCGGTCCTTGATATATCGCTTCCTTTTAGCACCAGAGCCGCTTCGAGTGTAGCCACATTCTGAGGGTGTTGGCGCATCCGACATGGGTTCACCTGTCCCAGACCAGGTTTGCGATCTAGGAAGCCCTCGTGCCTTGGGCTGCTTGGGTTGTTTCGCTGGTAAATTTGGCGTGGCGGAACGGCTGTACACTTGTGCTTCGCTTTCAGCAGCGGGCGAGATCTGTGAAGCAATGCCATCTGGTGACCCAGCAGTAGAAAATGTTGCATGCGACTTTTCTCGAGTCTGAGCCTTTTCTACAGATACAGACTGGAATGCGTCCCCGGTAGGAGGTCGTCCACTGACCGAATTATTGTCATGCTCATTTATTGCCATCCTTGATAGTAGATCACTTTCGCTTTTCGGATTTTGTCCCTGAAAATACACAGAATTGAGAAAATCTTGGTCCATGTTGTCAAAGTCGAACGGCTGAGTACTGCCCATATCCATCTCAATACTTTCAGTGATTGGTTGAGCGGCTGATCCTCGGCGATATTGCGCTGCTTCATGGCGTGCCCACGAGCCATCCCCACAGTTCATGCCATCAGTGTCCCGTCCCATGGGAATGTCACTAACAAAACCTGAATCGTTGAGGGGTAGTGTTGGTAGGTTCGGACTGGAGGGAGCAGGTGATATGGTCCGCCGGGGTGCAATCGGTGGTGAAGAGGGCATCTCATTCGGTGTCTCACTTGGGCTTCCTTCTCTTTCATCTGCTGATTCCATAGCATTGTCTGAAAAGGTACTAGGTTCGTAAGGGGACATATATGGCCGTCCTCCGTCCATCGATGCATGCCTCAGAGCACTTGGTGCGGGGGGCCGACGAGCACCTCGCTGTCCTAGTTTTTCGCCTGGACGAGGGGTTGGTGCGCGCGGGACCATGTCTGCGGCAGCCCCAGCCGCGTTGAAGGTTGGTTTGAGGAGGCGTACCGATGCTGCTGTACTAGCGGTCACTCGAAGTGAGTCATTATGAGCAGTCAGGGGCGTGTTCCTTGGTCTTGTGGTCTGTGTGATTCGAGCCCTCTTTTTTGGGGGGCCGTCGTCTTGCGGTTCCACAACATACGGATCACTAAATTGGTATTGTTGGGTTGGGGGTGGGGCTTCGCTACGCACAGAAGCGCGTGATGTTGGACGTGAAGGTGGATTATATTGATAGTGATGGAAGGAAATGGTGCTCATGGCGGGGCTAGATGGTCTGGTAGGTTGGGACATGAAGGGCGTATTTGATTGGTCGTAGAATGATTCGTTACGGACGGGCTCCTGCGAGGGGCTTTGGCGGGTAAGCATCTGGTGGAAAGGCTCAACACCACCAACGGAATGGCGTGGCGAAGGCTGAGCAGAATTGGTCGTAGTTGGCTGGGCCAGGTGACCAAGCATAGGATTCTCTTTCAGGAAGTCGGACCAGGCGTTGTAGTCAAACCCTTCGGGCATCATCTGGCTGAGACTATGATACCGCTCCATATTCTCCACATATTCTTTCTGCATGCACGTCGGAACAGGCACCAGCTTCAACTTGACTTCTAAAGTCTCTTTGATACCATTCGAGAAAATGCCAAGAATATTTTTACACACACGACCTGTGACCATGGTTTGGGAGTCCTTGGCAGGGGCATTGGGTGTCGATGATGCAGAAGCTAGAAGCCACGATAGCATACCCTGTCCAACAAGCGGTGTTTCGTACTCGGAAAAGTCATAAGCGTACACGGTGTAATCGTGTCCTAATTTGGCTACAAGCTCAGGGCTGTGGCGGTGAGCAATGCGTCTTACATGACCAATGGGAGTTTGCTGTAGCCTACCTTGCAGTGACAATAGCCTGAATGCATGTCTTGAGTTCGATGACTCCCACCTCGGTAGTCTCGTCCAGCGAAACGACAGGAATGTTGAGGACATTTGGCAAACGAGCGAGACAGTTTGATTTGTTCTGATCGTCAAACGTATACAAGACCTTGACTGGATGAAGAGCCGTGTTAGATCAGAGCGTGATGATGAACTGAATCTGTTTACCTCGCATTTGCCGGCGTGGGATCTCGTCCATGACGCCATCCTCGGCACCAGCAGCAGGCGTTGAGGCATGCTGCGAGGCACCTGTCTCTGGCGTAATACTCGAAGGAGTTGACATAGCTGACTATAGGCTTGATGAATGATAGACAGGCCGTGCCGTAAAAAAGAGAAAGGGCGCCGGGGAATGGACGGGATATGATCAATGTCGTATCGCGATCGGTGGCTGGCGTGCGATCATAGCGGACGCGTTCTTGGAGAACAAAGAAGCGAGACTAGGATCGAGTGGGAAGCAAAACTGGCGGGGGGAAAGGGGCCCGTTATGTATTCCGGTAGACGCGAGATGCGAAACAGGCACCAGCACGCATAGATCGGCTAGGAAAGGGGAATAAAAGGGTGTCGTCAATGATGTCGTATGCAATCGAAGTGAAGATGGAGGCACGAGCTTAGAGGTTTCCAGCTACCCGCGCCGCGCTAACGCCGGGAGAGGGCAAAGACGCGTGACGCACCATGGATCTGGCTCTATGGCCCCACTCTCTGACGCGTACTGATTGGTCCGGTACCGGAAAAACTACAGCCCGCGCTTCATCTCAGCCAAGCTCGATCACTTCATCGCCCTGCCTCACCATTATCGCCGACCGCTCCACCTCATCCAAGCTCGTTGCCGTGGTGTCCTGCCTCTCTAAACTAGGTCAGTCTTTCCGCCACTGGTCTGTGCACTTCTTTTGCTCGACCCAATCCTTGCGCAGTACCTGCTCGAGCTGCAAATCAAAATTCGAAGGCAGAAGCTGAAGACTCAGGTTGTTAACAGCAAATTAGAAATAGAGATTCTTTTTCTTCTACATCCGCGCTCAGTACCCATACCGCCTGTCAAAATGGTCGACGCGAAGATTCAGTGAGTAAAAGCACGCAAGCTCCAATAGCAAGCTCAGTACTGACACTCCACAGGGAGCTTCTTTCCAAGCCACGTTCCGAGTTGACGTACGTATCCTCCTGTACTATTCAATGGTACAAAGAGGCTAACATTTCTACTTAGGGAATACGAGGTTGCGCAAGTCGAGGAGCATGAGCTCACCACCGGTCCTCTTTCTATTCTTCAAACCGCCGTCCGCTCGCGTACCCAGGTGCTGATTTCGTGCCGAAACAACCGCAAGATCCTCGCACGCGTGAAGGCTTTTGACCGCCACTGCAACATGGTTCTCGAGAATGCCAAGGAGATGTGGACCGAGACGCCACGGTTAGCTAACGGTAGCTATGGAAGGAAGGTCAATAAGGATCGCTTCATTTCCAAGCTGTATGTCTAAGACATTGTCACGTTTTGCGCAATGTACTGACTTCGCATAGATTTCTCCGAGGTGATTCCGTCATCCTTGTCTTGCTCTCATAAGAATCTGGATGCGACCTGGTGTTGAGACGGGAGTGCAAGATGGATGCACGCAATTTAGAGTTCGAATGCATTAAAAGTTATATAATCGACGCCGCGAAGTCGGCGATGACCACCGAACGAATCAAAGAACGATACCCATCAACCTTTACTTCTTCAATCCGTCACTCAGGCCCAGCAGAAGTTCTGCAAGACCGTGCGCACCAGGGTCAGGAACTTCTTGGAACCCTTCGCCTCCAACGTACACCGTCCGCCCTAAGCTCGCTTTCATTCCTTTCGTTCCCTGCGCTCCTCCCTGCGCCGCCGCAGCTGCTTTATCGACATCTTCTGTCTTGGATAGCGTCTCAATGAATGGATATAAAGCATCCATTAACGTTCGATCACCGGGCTTTGCAGGCGTATATTTGCCAAGTGCTTTGAGGGATGAGTCGAGAGCCTTGGCCCAAATTGCAGGAGTGACGGGTTGAGGGGAAGAAGGCGAACTCTTTCGTAATCCATGGGCTAGTGCATTCAAGAAGATGGCGTAAATTGCGCCTGACGTCCCGTCCATTGCTAATTCAACCACTTGAATGATGTTGTTTACGAGAATCAGCAGATCATCTGTTTCTTTTGCCGTTTCGAGCATCTTCAGAATTGCTGTAGGATGTCAGCATCAGGCAACAGTGCACATGTGATCAAGACCCTACCTTCTGCGCCACGCTTTAGTCCGATTCCACAATCGCCATCTCCTACAATTGTGTCATATTTAGTGACATCAGGCTCGGCGGCTATCAGTCTGCTGAGTGCAGTTGTCAATACTGACTTCGCTTGGGCGTAGTTTACTATTCGACGTCAGTGCATGACCTATGTCGTGTCATGCAATACTCACTTCTCAAATCACTAGGCAGCACTTCTTCTTCGTCTACCTTTTCTTCATTTTTCTTTGCCTCATCACGTCTTGCCCATGTGCTACTGCTGATTGCTGCAGCCCAACCACTCGCCTCGGCGGGTGCATCGAGTAGCTCAAGCATGGAAGCGCCTAGTGATTGCGTATCGGCGACTTTGAGCATGCTGATGCTAAAGCCGAGTCCATTCAAACTGGTCATAAAAGTGCCGGCGAGTATGCGCACAGGTTTGATCTTGAAGTCATTCGCCAGTTGCTCGACAACCTCATTCGTGATGCCGCTCAGCTCAAGCGGACTGACTCCTCCTAGGTTATTGATCAGCAGGACGACCTCGTCCTCTGCATTTATGGAAGAGAAGCTTCTATCTTTGTCTGCGACATTAAGACAGTGCGAAAGCATGGTTTTCACGAGACCGGGAAGATTGGTGGATTTACGCTCTGAGCCAGCCTCATTATGAATACCCATCCCGATTTCGACTTGGCCGTCTTTCAGCTCATCCTCTTCAGCCTCTCGGCGACCTGGTACGTGGACATGTGCTAGTGAGGATCCAATGGAGACGGTATTGTCGGCGACCAGTTGCGCTACTCGCGTTACATCCTTGAGACTCGCTCTGCATCTTGTCAGTGAAACTGCCTCCTTACTATTGCTCTGGTTGGCATTGCTCCATACCCTTTTGCTGCAAGCGCTCCAGCAATTTTCTGGACAAGCACGGTCCCGGCGATGCCTCTTCGTCCAACTTTTCCACCCTTGGCTCGCCCTACACCAGCGTCGTCACCCACAACCACCATGTCGGCCTCGATGCCAGCAGCGCGTGCCTTCTCTACGGCCATACCAAAATTCAGCACATCGCCCGTGTAGTTCATTACAATCACAAGGACGCCCTTGTCTTTCTGAATGCGATGCAAGATACACCTTCGTATCTGCTCTGCGCTTGGAGATGCAAATATAGTGCCTGCTACCGCGCCAGAAAGAAGACCCGCACCAACAAAGGAAGCGAAAGAGGGCTCATGGCCGCTACCACCACCAGAGACGATGGACACCTGTGACGCGCCATTCTTGCGATATATGATCTTGTTCTCGATATCGCATTGCACGGACGGATTCGTCTTTGGGATGCTCAGAAGCGCCGTATTCACAAGGTGCGTAGGATCGTGAATAAAATGTTTTGCTGGATATTGTTAGTTACTGGCGTGTAATTGCAACATGATCTTGCTTGAATTTAAGGCTTGAATGCGTACACGACATGTTTATTTATCTTGGTGTATGAATGCCTCAAATCAATGCGCGACAAGGAGTAGGAAAGACCACACGGTATATAGAGGAAAGAGGAAATCAAGTTTTATTAAGAAATTCTCAACTTTTGGTATCCGATCCGACGACGCCTCATCGAAGCGCCCGTCCGGATCGCTTGTTCTTCTCGTCATTTGACGTGTGCCGGGCGATCTGCCAGGTCCCTCTTGGACGGCCCAAAAGCCCTGAGTGGGGTCGCGCAAACATGAATGTGAGGGGTAACTAGGGTTATGGTGGGGTTGTCGGGTTTTGCCCCGAGCCCCGAACGGCCGGCAGAGGCAGCGGCTTCCTTGTTTCGGAATTTCCGGACCCCAACTCTAGATTCTTTTCCTTATTAACTTGTTGAATTGATCCATCTGCTCCTTCGCACCGCAGGCACGCCGAATGCGGATCTATTTCCTTGTTTTGAATCAGGGCAATCGGAAGCGCATATTGAAGCCGTGTGACACTTGACACCAACAGAGCAATCACAATGGATTTACTGTCATCTTGGCCATTCATCACAGCTCCGCTATACGTAATGAGTACCGGCACCCTGAAAGGTACAAGCAGTAATAGTTCAATAATCACATTCAAAAATCATTGGGCGCGGTCCATGAATCTAACAATCAGAGCACGCCCTTGACGATTTGCTCTCATTGACTGGCTGCTTCACAACCTCACAGCCATGGAAACAACACCTTTTAGCGAGCCATGCACATTTGCAAGCAAAACTTTCATTAATTCATATCTGCGCTGATTGAGCCAAGAGACATGGTGGCAGATTTACAGCCTCCTAGCCAGCAATATGCCCAGAAGTTTCGTCATAAAACTAACCCGGTCCTCCGTCGCCTTTCGACACGCTACGCGGAATTACACCCAAAATACACACAATAGTCCACTCTACGCTCTGCCATACGAGATTATCCAGCACATCGGCAAGTTTCTAGGCTATGCGGACCGTTTCTGCTTCGCATTAACAAGCTTTAAATATGTTGATGCCCTTCTCGCCATTTGCAAGCCACAAGCGGCCAAGCAATCGCACATCAAAGACATCAGGGCCAGAATAAGAAGAGACCTCTTTTACGGTCACCACTGTTGTTCCTCTGCCCGTATTGGACGCAGACTTGGTATGATGTACTGTGTAGGATGCAATTCACCGCATGCGTCGTTTCGATTCCCAGAAGATACAGTAGCACAACCACTACACTTGCGCAGATGTTTCCGAGCAACTGACGGTCCCTTCTTCATGTGTCAGCACAACGAGTTTACCTTCTTAGAAATGTCTCGCATGTTGCAAAAAAATGCGAGAAAAGGCCGTCAAAACAAGTTTGGCGACTTTTTCCATTGCATCGAGTGCTACGAGCTTCCGTATCAAAGACGCCGTCCAGGTCGATGTTTACATCCTCCCACACTATCTCTGGCTCACCAAACGCATGTAGTCACTCTTCGATCAAGGTTTCTGCTTCTGACAGTACCCTGGACTGTGCCAGTCTCGGTTCAGCAGACGAAAGAAGCACTGGCTCTCCTCAACCTCAAGATCTGTCCCCACATGACTGCTTGCGATGCAGAAGTAATCGAGGGTATAGTGGGGGACCATCAGGACATCATAATGGATGGTCGCTTTTCAAAGCGCATTAGTATTGACTGCGACACTTGCCAAACAACTTTCAGTATCAAGAGAAGGGTTCCGTTCCACGAGGTTGTGGTGGAAGTTGAAAGAAGGCTAGGCCAGGTCAAACGGGAGGCCGATCCAATCTGGAGGGCCCATCTACCAAGCAGGAAAGCCGGTACTTCTTGATACTGGGGCTATCTCATACCGGCTGCAATTAAAGGTCGTGTAGTTCATCTCGATCAGGCCTTCGCGAGTCATTGTGCGCCTGAGAAAACGTGCAATTCGGCGTCAGTTAAGTATGTGTGGCGTCAAGGGGGGTGTGGGACTTTTTGCGGGCTGGATGGTTCTATAGTTCAAGGTCTCGGGTATTGACTCTAGTGCTGGCAGCTGAATGCAAGGGACTGGACTAGCGGGACTACGTAGCGCCATTGAGGAATGTCTTTCAGTCTCTGAGTACAGAAGTGCCTTTGCTAGTGTGCAAACAAGACACATCGGGGTTGCTTCGCATCTGCTAGTTTACATTTATTCCTTTGAACCCGTGTCCCTGAGATGTCTGCATATGACCTATTTTTTGAGGGGCGTTTCAAGCTGTGCGAACATAGTTCCTAGATCACAAGTTTCCCAAAAATGGTTCGCAGACATTTCGTATTTGAGACTAGATCTGGGTGAACCCAGTCCAGAAGCATCGAGCTAGACGGATTATGGAGTCAGAAGAATGACAAGGTAGTACTGTCCTTACAGATGCCAACATTACGACATACATGGGCAAGAGTGGCGAGTATCAAACAATAATAGCAACGGGATACGAAACGGCGAAGAAAACCATACGTACCCCATATTGATCAAATCCCGAGAACACCCGTTTTGCGAGACCCTTGTTCCCCCCCCCCCCAGTAAAAGCTAATCAACCTCGGCACATCACCACCCCCCACGAAATCACGTCAATCAAACCATCTTTCAGCACAGCGCGCCAGATCCGCAACCGCCTTCCTCTCTCAAAGTCTCCACGGCGAGGCTGACAAGCGCGCGGCCATGCCGCCCACTAATTTCCCCTTTGCAAATCCTCCCTCCCCCTCCCCCCCCCAAAGATTAAACTTTCGGGTAACAACTAACTAGTTAGACAACCTCACCCAAGTTAGCAAGAGTGTGTGTGCAAACAAGACAAGCTTGTGGCCGCCCGCATGGCGCACTTCTAGACCTTCGCGTATCAGCCGCGCCCTGTTCCATTCCGGAAAGTCGACTAGTGAATTAGTAGTAATCGTAGTAGGAACCTAAAAAGGGGTGTGGGTGGCTGTGTGTGTGTGCTGTAAAGAGAAGAGAGACACATTTATTTGGTTTGTTGCGGAAAGCGAAATATGGGGGGGGGGTCCTTGTGACCTTGGGTATTTTTTTTTAATTGGCGGAATGGGAGGATTGTTTGGCGCTATTGTTTTTTTTTGGTATTTTGCCTTTCACACTTGGAAAAGGGAATCTGGGGGTTAAAGTGGAGAGTATAGCTGTGAATCCTGACATTGATGTCCGGTGAAGTAAAGTAAGAAAGCAGCAAGTCATGGGTTCCAAGGGGAGGCGCTGCGTAGCTATGCGGGTGAGTGTGAGAGAAGGGAACAAGGAGAAAAAAAGACGCCTTTGTCGCAGTCGCGTGTCGTGAATAACTCAGCTAGGTGTTTTCTAGTAACGCTACTTACTAGTAGTAACTAGTAAATTGGTTTTCAGCTCTTACATACTCTCTTCTTTGGGTAGGAAACCGGCTTATTACCCCGCCTGAATCGTGATAGTAGTAGGGCTTTTCCCAAGAGGACCCTTGTGGATAGATTCCCCACTTTCCTGATTAATTGAGCGATCCTTTTCTCCATATTCTCCCTCGGTAGTGGTCACGCGGGCGCAGCCGGTTTTTTCTCTTTGCGCTTTAGTATCGGAATTGGGGAAGGGTTGACAGAAAAAAAGCCACCCGGTACAAACTTGTCTCTGTCCTGTTTACCGCAAACGCCACTTCGCTGGGCGAGAAGTTCGAGTTTTCAATTGCTGCTATTGTTTTGTCTTTGTTCCCTGACTTGAGTGAAATCCTTGTTCTTTAGTTACTTATAGGAGTGCTGGTACGCGCTTCCCCCATCATGTCGTCCCCGTCGTCGTCGTCTCCGCAGTTGGCGTCGTCGATAACTCCTACCACTACTACTACTCCTGTCGCAATGGCATATCCCGGTACCGCGCACAAGTACTCTAAACGCCGAGTCGCATTCGAGCACTCATACATTAATCCTTTTGGTGATGCGCCAAATACTATTCTCTGGGTAGGCGGTCTGGGTGATGGTCTTCTTACCGTTCCTTATCCGTCTGAAATCGCAAAGTCGCTTCCAGAGAATTGGGTCATAGCAGAGGTTCTGCTCGGCTCATCCTACCGTGGCTGGGGCACTAGCTCTCTCTCTCGCGACGCCCGCGAGCTGGCGGAATGTGTCTCGTATTTCAAGCAATTGCGTCCAGGCAAGAAGATTGTCGTCATGGGCCATTCAACGGGATGTCAAGATGTAATGGAGTATCTTGTTGGCAAGGGAAAAGAAAAGCGCGAGTCACTCGATGGAGTTATTCTCCAGGGTGGAGTCAGTGACCGTCAGGCATGGGAGGATTTCGCAAAAGAAGGAGAGAAGAAGGAGGCGTTGGAGCAAGCTATTAAGTATACTAAAGAGTTGATCGATGCAGGAAAGGGAAAGGAGATTTTGTCAACAGAGGACAATGTCGTATTGAAGGAAATGGGAGGACCCCTGAGCGCATACCGTGCGTATTCGCTGCTTGCAAAGGGCGGCGACGACGATTACTTCTCCAGCGACCTTACAGACGAGCAATTTACCAAGACTTTTGGCAGGATTCCCAGGACTACATCAGTATGCTTCTTACTTGGCTCCGAGGACCCATATATCCCTGCTTCGGTCGATAGGGAGGCACTACTAGAGCGATGGACAAAGATAATGCGGGGAAGAGGCCGCATTGTCGACGACGTGGACGGCGGTGTTATCCCTGGTGCTCATCACAATCTCGAAGACGATCCCGAACATGTTGTTGAAGACTTGGTGCAGAGAGTTTGTGGCTTTGTTACTGGACTCGAAGAAAGTCGAGCGTGGAAAAATGTTGGATCGCATTTGTAATTTGCACTGGGCTTTTTTCTCCTTTTTTCACCCCGGACTGTACGCAAGTGTTTGCACATTTGCTTACCAGGACTGAAGACATGTTCAAGACACCGTTTTTCTGAGATGGACGGGGCTGGCGCGACTCAAACCTTACATATGGATGGCCACTGGAAGTTTGCCAGCTTGCAGCAAGTAGTGCCGTTTTTACGCAAGCTAGGCCCAAAGCCAAGGAGACCGAACTCGTCTGGTGGAGAGCATTCATTCAAGGATCTTTCCGTCGCCGCTACATCAACAGAGGGGCCCGGAGTATACGAGCTACGAAGTCGATGCTGGTGGTTGGGGGGTTTTGCGAAGGGGGTAAGAAAGACGTGTTGCGTATGAAATACGCAGTGAGCAGTGGTGTGTTGGAAAGCTCTATCATACAGAGAGTTAGCAAGTGTTGATGATTTCTAAGAGATTGGAAAACCCAATAATGTATAGCACCATACACGATATGAGTTCACTCTGTCGTATCGAATTTTAAACAACAGTCATGACAAACAATTCAATCTGGCACAATTTTCATGTCTTGAATTATTGCTCCCTACTTGAGGCACATCTACGTGGCCCTCCGTCAGCAAATTGTTATACAAGCCCCAATACAGGCCAAATGTTTTTGATACCCCCTTTCCTTGACCCTCTAATGACAAACCAAGCAGGTAACAAGAAGCGAACTAACGCCACCCGAGCTGACCAAAAGACAGAAAAAGCGCCAGCGCAATGCATAGTCCGGTGACCCGAGGGCGGCTCCTTAAGGCGGACAATGTCATTTCCACTCTGCTAGCTTCTAAACCCTCGCAACACCTTCTCCTACTGTCCCTTCTTCGAATCTCGCCTGGACAACCCAGTGCTCACCAAACTTGATCCCTTTGCCACCACTGATACCAGCATTGCGCCAGGGCTTGTTTACACCAATATCCACGATCCAGATGAGCCATTTCGGGTCGCGTCCAGCACCGTGTTGGAGCGCTTTCAGGAGCCCCGTTCGTGGTGCACCAAGACAAACGATATACTTTGCACGGACTTCGAGAGGTTCGCCTTCGAGGATGGACACTTCACCAGTGGATCCACCTACACCTGATGGGGTTTCCACGGCTAGACAGGCGGCACGAGACTTGTTCGCCCATCCTACGATACTCAGGACAACGCGCTGATCTTCGTCGCCCAGAGCCTCGAACTCCTTGTGGCGACCGAGTAAAGCGTCGATGATCAGTTCGGGTGGTGCTTGTAGGCGCTTGAGAGCTTCTTCAGTATCTTTCCATGCACGAACTGAACCACCGAATTTTCGGAACATATCAACTTGCCGCCGTATGTCCTTGTCCCAATCGGCGTTGCGCTCGAAACCAAGAAGTGCAACCATGACCTTTGGTCCACGCTGAGCGAGCTGTCGTGCTGCTGCTATGGCCCGTGCTCCACCACGGTGATTGCCCGCTAGAACGACTATCACAGGATTGGCATTAGGGTTGTCGCGTGCCAGTCTTCTACCACCAGGATTAATCGCTGTGAGGGCGACTTCAGCAATACCTCTTCCTGAATTTTCAGCAATAAGCTCTTCAGTCAGACCAAATTCTACTTCAGCAGTCTCTTCAACCGCCAACATGCCTCCTGGTGTGATAGCAAAGCATTTGCGGTTATTCGGGACCAAACGTAAACAACCTTTTGCTGCGTTAGACTCAGCAGGTGAGTCTGGAGGCGTAGCGGTGCGACCAGGCCTGGGACTACCAGTGGCATGCGAAGAAGCGTAGGGCCGATTGATGAATGAACGGTTACTTCGCGAAAGCACCCCTGAGCCCATTACGTCCATATCGGCTTGAACACTGCTGCCTTGCCGTGTGGGTGCTCGTTTGATAGAAGCTCTTGACATTGCCCGCCTAGAGTTTCGCCCACTGCCAAAGTCTGATTCCTCTTCAGAGCTTGTGTTGGTCGTGCTTTTCAGCTTTCGATCCAATACATTCTCTGAAGGATGCAAGTTCTTTCCACCATGCGTTCCAGGCCTCGCTAGACGATTGAAGCTGACTAGGCGATCCTCATCCGCTGTTGTATCTTCGTTCCTAATTTGATTGAATACAGTGCGTTTGTCGAACTTGGAGAGATTGCTCTGGAAGTCGAACTCGGGCAGGTCTTGGATGTCGGTCGCGTCTTCGGTAGCCCAGCCGTTCGTAGCATCAAGAGCTTGCTGTCGTTTCGTCTTGCGATTCGAGGCGTTCGCTGCTGCGATGCCAACCCTCCCACCAATAACCCCAGGTGTCCTGGTCTGTGGTTCCTCAGCAGCCTGTAGCATGGGCGTATTCCTCCAACCATTGCCTTTGCTACTGCTAGTCAGCTTATGTAGGTCTGGTAATCGGGTTGCCGCCTCCGCACCAAAGAAGCGCACGTACCTTTTCTTGATGCTACCAGCAGATTGGAAATCGACCCCGTTCTTTCTCTCTTGGGCTGCAACTTCCTTCTTACGAGACTTGCCTCCCCTCCGAGTCTTCTTGCCACCGTCGTCGTTCTTCTGAGGGCTCACATCATCCATAGGCTTACCTGTTCTTGTCTTGCTGATGCTCGCTCTACGCGGCGCGATTCTAGCAGTCCTCGTCTCATTATCTGCTTCTTCCGCATCTGCAATGTCCAGTGATGAGAAAGGCCCCTCCAGTGTCGCTGCGCTTGGCTTCCGAACATTTTGATGCTTCACCTGGTTGATAGACGAAGATGTAGTTTTGGGCAGAGGCGCAGCGCTCGCGCCAACTACAGCCGTGATTGGTGTGGCGGGAGCTTCCTGGGGTGGTGCTGTAGCAAGCTGACTAGAAGAGATTGTAGTATTGGTGCGCTTCCCCATACTCAGGATCGCAGGATCGACGAATGGCGCAGCCTGGACCGAGTGGGAAATAGATTGACGTGAGCCGTTGCGTACATTCATGGAATGGTCATCGTGCGGTATGGACGATGGCTGGCTGACAAGGTGCGGCATTTGCTGGGAAGCATTTGCTCGGACATTCTGGACATGGGTCTGGGGGTATTGCGCGTATGCCGGGGGTTCAGATGGTGGCTGTGGAGGTTGCGGAGGAGCGGGCGCAGAGGCATTGACCTTGATATCAGCAATCATGTGCCCTTCGACAGTGTATGAAGGAAGACGATGACCGGAGCTTGGAAAGAACACTGTCAAGGGTGAGTCCGTGTTCTTCATCTCTGTCGCAACCAGAGCGGGTTGTAAACATACCATCGTGGAGAGTCAAGGTGGCCGTCTGCTGGTCAACACCACTCACAACACCTAGCAAGACAGCCCCAGGAGGATTCTGAAGCGTCACTGCGACCGAGAGTCCGACAAAGCCGGTAGCCATGGTTGCAAACGGGACGCACGAGGCTGTCCCAAAGTTCTGCCTCGGGCGGTTGCTAAACGAAGCGGAACTTCGCAAAGCGCAGCGATCGAGCACTGATGCGTTCCAGCGACGTGAGTCTATCGGGCGGGATGTGAGCGTCGAGAACCTCGAAGGGGCTTCTAGGGCGTATTGACAAGAGGGCGACCCCCGGATCGGAAGGGTGGAGGTGGAGGGTACAAGTCGCGCGCATGCACTGCTGTTGTTCCTACTTTCCTACCTGACTTCACTGTTTCGCCGATCGGGCTAAGCCGCTAATCCAGCCACAGGGAAGCCACCCAAACGGTTGCTGACGTAAGACGGCACGTCTTCACATGTCGCAGATGTAGTAGCCCTAATATAAACACATGCAGTGCATGGCGATCCGGTTACAAACGAAGCCAACATTGTTATTTTAGGATTCCAAAAGGATTATTAAGCTCATGCCATTCGCCAAGTCCAAATCAAGTCAAATCCAGGGTATCCACACGCCTTTTCCCCACCTCTTTCATCACTCTCGTGTCTTCAGATCCTTATCAAATCCGCGTTGTTTTCAACATCAACAATGTGAGCCGGCAGGGCATGTTCCTGAGCCCTAAATAAGCTCCCATGCGGCTACACCACCAAACTTGCACGAGTACCCTTGCTTATTGTTCCATGTATCAATGCTCATGCCCCGAGCGTCTTGACCATTAAATTCGGTGATCGCATTGACTGCAATCTTTTGACCTGGTACACCGAGCTCGACCCGAGGGACGTCGAGCCACCAAGTATGCCCGTCGGTATTGAACGGCTTGTAATCTGGCTTGCGGCCATCTCTTCCCGCAATGCTCAGGAGCATAATATAGGGCGGGCCCCTGCCATGGCGCGCATTATCCCAGTGCGGGCAAACGGTCGAGAACTGAAATCGAATCACTGCTGGTGCATAGGGGTCGTTGGCTTTGATCTGTGCTTGCGAAGGTTCAAATGTTCGCTCGCCCAAGCCGTGCTCCTTGAAAGCGTCGCCATATACCTGTACGCGGCCACCTTGATCATCTCGCATGAATTCTTCATAAGATATGATGCGCCCATCATTGCGCAGTTGTTGAGAAGCGTCCCCGGGGAAGTGCCGCAACCCGAATTCGTCATTGTCCATAGTGAACTGGCGCGCATTGAATGACCTTACATATCTATGGTCAAGTCAGTAGATTACCAATTAAAGTAACTGCTCAGGAAACATACCCTTCACCACGCATTTGGCACCCGATATGCCCAGCTCCCCAGCATGGATCGATAAGCTTCCATTCTCCGTTGTCGATCTTCACAGCGTTCCAGGCATGCGTGGACTTATAGGGTGGTACGGCCTGTCCAGGCTCTAGTGGTGTATAGCCAAACCCCTTGCAGGCGCCAGAGCAGACTATAGCTTCGAGACCTGCTTTTAGAGCTAGAGCAGCAAATAGACCAGCATAGCCCTCACATACTGCGAGGCCAGAGGCAATGGTCTTCTCTGGAGTAGTTGGAGAAACAGTGCCGTTGAAGAACGAGTGGACGTCGTAGTCAACGTTATGGTGAAGCCAGGTGAAAATGACCCGTGCTTTATCGGTTGGCGAAGAAAATTGGGAGCAGAGTTGATGAGCAAGCCAGCCAACATCAGAGGAAGGGAGTTGAGTGCGTGGAAACTGCGCAGCGTGATTGTCCGGAGCAGAGAAGTCCCGGCATTTCAGGCAGCCCCCAACAGCACCTGGCTTTGGCTTCGAGGCCATGATCGCCTCCAGATTGGGTCTGGACGACAATGGGATAGGTGGGGGTACTTTTGGTGAGGGCGCAGACTTGGATGTGACTGCCGGCGGTCGGGTTGAGGGTACGGGAGGAGGAGAGGGCGCCTTGTTATTGAAGCCCATTTCCAATGCAGATCGCTGGGGAGGACGTTGTGGTGGCGGCGCAACCGCTCTATTCGCTCGCGGAGCATCGTTGGACGCCTGCCTCTGCGGTAGGACTGGGGCGGGCTGGAGCGATCGTTCACGAAGGGTTGATTGTCTGGCAGGCAAAGGCGGACGGGCTGGTACGTCTATACGGGATTACAGTCAGCGTCTTCCCTACTTGTACATTCATCAAGATCTTGTGGTATAGTCTGCCATTGGCTCACTTGCAACTCATAGACAGCATGCGTGCACATGCTTATGTCTGTTTGCTTGGCTACTATGCTTACCTGGAGTTTTGACCTGCGGCGGAAGGGCTCGCGCGGGAACATAGTCACGTTTACTTTTCATCGCATTCAGAATGGCATTGCTCTGCTTAGAGTCTTCAGAAGTCCTTTTTGGTGGCAGTGGGGGCAGCTTCGTTGGGTCGAATGCAGGAGCCCTAACCTGGTGCAGCGTGCCAGCGCTTCCATTACTGTGTCCGGCACCATATGTCTTCACGGAACCCAAGGACAAGGACGAAACACTGGAAGCGATTGTAGAAATAGACTCGGAAGATTCGCGCCTCCGTACGCTGGATTCGGAGGACTTGCGAGGAGGTAGTGTTGGCGTCTGTCGAGGCGTACTGCCATTGCGCGGGGGCAGCCGAGGAGGCAGTGCAGGCGAGATCTTTGGGCTTGCAGTCTCGTTCACTACTACAGGCTGGTTGCCAAGTTGTCGCGCAGACGTGGGCGCATTGCTGAGGACTGGCGGATTGTTGACCGTCTGGCGCGAGTAGGCTGGTGGCCGCGCGCTGGGTGGGGGAGGAGGAGGTGGCTTCTTCTTGGTGGTAGCTGCATCGAAGACATAAGACGGCTTCGTGCCAGGAACAGGTGTATGGACCTCTTCAAGGTTCAGTGCTGCGATCCGCGACTTGATGGAGCCCTCGGCCATGGCGTTCGCGTTCTGTGGGGTGGTCGGAGCGGAACCGGTTTAGCTGTGGCTGGTGACGAAGAGTCGATTGAGCAGCACTCAATCGTGAACCGTCGCCTTGCCGCGTCGCTGCACAACTTGGCTGGGGAAACTCGGCGCAACAGAGCTGATCAAAGGTAGACAGGAGAGCGCGATTAAAACACGAACGAGTGACTGGGCGGCTGGACATACAATACGAGTGACAGGAGAACGCCTTATGAATGGCTAGTGGTATTGATCGCAGGCAGCACAGCCTCCGAGCCTAGCTCCCGCTAATCCCTGTTGTAGCTCAACCCCCTCGTCCCTCATCCATAGTCTCCTAGGCCCGTTCCTGTCTCTCCGTCCAAGTACAGGGCTGGCGGCAGTCTGACGCTGTCTTGGTCCGCCATGGCCCGACGTTGCCATTGAGTATCGGACTGACAGCAAAGGTACCTTGGTCGTCGCAGCAACCATGTGCTTCCAGCATGGGGTCATGAGGCAGGATGTTTCCAGGGTAGATGCAGCAATGCAGCGTGACCCATAACAAATCCTCACCGGTATGCCATGTGCCGCACATGTACACATGGACGACACGCCTGACTTGATCCACTTTGTTTCTAAGAGCTCCATTGAATATAATTGACAAATGACGCTACTTTGTCAAACAACGTTATCAAGTAGTATGTAGGAGAACATTCGCCAAAGCGAACCAGTATGGACAGTCAAAACAAAACCATTCTCCCAGCCAGCCCAAATCCTCTACCCAACCAGTGCCTCCCATCGGTCCAGTACAATCTAGTCCTGTAACACCGTAACATTCTCCAGTCCCGCCTCTCCCCATCGACGCCCAACTGTACACGCAGTGCGCAAAAAGACACTTTTTGACTTGCTGAGAAGGAGCGGAACGGGATGGCGCTAAGAATACCACCCAACCAGACAGTGCAAACACTCGCTATCCAAAACACCAGAGACGGACAAGAGGAAAAAAAAGAGTGGGGGTGCTGCAAGATACAGTAATGACAATATGTTGGGAGTAGCACCACAAAGTGGCACAACGTGAAATGTAAGGATTGATAGCAAGCAGATATTGCTTAAGTTTTGTAGATCAACAAACTGATCCTAGCAAGATGGTGTCTACCTCTTGCGCTTCTTGCTCTTGTCTAGTGATGTGCTTAGAGCATGGGGTCCATCCACAGCCATGTTGTACTCGTATGCTGGCGGGGGTGCCATTGAGACTGCAGACGGGACCGAGTTCTTCTTGACCGAGACGCCCATGTGGCGTCCATAGCGGCCCTTCCGGCCGTTGCCTTCGTCTTCACTGACGCATCCGTCGGCACCAATACCAGCATCTTTGCAGCGCTGGCAAGGGCGTTGGCGATCACAGCCCTTCTTACTCTTGCGGCAGCGTTGGCACCGCGGCTTGCTTGAGAGATCTTCCTCATCAACAGCGAGCTGATGCTGGAAGTTGATTGATGCATTCGAGGCCTTGCGTGACTGCGAGGGGAGAGATGATGGCGACATGGGGGCAGCTTTGTTGGTGCCATTCGTCTTGCTCTTGCTCTTAGACGTGGCTCGAGACTTGTTGGGCTTGCCAGACTTGCTCGAAATAGAACGAGCTTTGATGATACCTGCCTGTACACGCTGATTGTTGTGCTCATCCGCCATCATCTCATCACTGACGCCCTTGAAGGAGCCGTCTCGTTCGTCCTCGTAGTCCTCGCCACTGCTGTCGGCGTCATCGTAGACACGAGTCATATCATGTAATCCACGAGACATGTTGTATGGGAGGGGTGGCAGCTCAGCTTCATCCTCACTGCCATCAGCACTCTCGTCACTCGAGGATGCTGCGTCAGCCTTTCCGCTAAAGGCATCGTCGAGTGTTGAGGTCGAAGTACGACCATGAGTGGAGAAGTTGGACGCATCGCCCAAACGCATGAGTTGACGAGCAACATCTTCATCAGAGATGACGCTGATGCTTGTAAGAGTAGTATCAGGGGTAGGGAGCATTCCACTGCTGCCAGAGTAGCGGTAGTGGGAATGCTGTCCTGAGCCCCGCGCACGAGACTTATTACCCTGCGCCGGACCACTCGATGTAGAGTAGGGCGTGACCAATCCTTGCATGTACGAACTATCACCTTGACCATAGCTTTGCGGCGATGGCAGCGGGTGTGAGTATGAGAATGTCTGCTGGTTGACAGAGTATGGCGAGCCAGCAGTATTACCACTGATGCGTCGCTGAGGAGATGCGGATGACAAAGAAGTGGTCATGGGTACCTGGGGCGGAACGAAAAGTGGCAGCTCCTATGGAAGGGATGGGTGTCAGACTATTGCACGATGCACTCTCCCACCCAAGGTACTTACCGAGCTGTCAAACTTTGCACGCTTTCGACGCCCACCTTCGACAATGTTGTCGACACTGATCTCAGCACTAGCGAGTGGCTCTTTCCTCGAGCGGCGAGAGCTGGTAACAGAACCATGCTCGCCCTCGCTGTCGCTGTAGTCGTCACCATTCGCATCAGCGAAGCTGTCATGTGAGCTATTTCCACGGCTCTTTGTGGAGGGGCGCATGCGCTTGCTGATTGAAGCACTTCTGCGGCCACGACTTGGGTGTGGAGAATGGCTTTGGCGAGCATGGCGAGACCCCGCTCTTGCGCCTGTCTGATTGTGCTGGTGAGGCGGGAGCATCTGGAAGGCCTCTTCAAGGTGAGGTCGAGGGCGGCGGGGCGAGACAGTTGTCTGTCGCGGATCAGGGGAGTACTCATCTGCATCCAGGCTTTCTGGAGAGACTCGGACATAGACAGTCATGCCATGTTCGAAGTTCTCGAACCGCGCGATGAGCGTGTTGCCATGGCGGTCTTCAAAGATGACACCGCGGCGCTCATACAGGCCGTAGAAGTTCTTCACTGTTGTGATGATGGAGTCTGTTGTATCGTGTGGGTAGATGTCTACCCGCATTGGTAGTCGGGCTTTGTGGGCTGGGGATTGGGGGAGTAGCAGCTCGAAGCTGACGTGCTTCTTGGGCATCTGCTTAGAGGGCGACAGGGAGTCGTGCGCCGAACCAGTCTCAGTGCTTGGGTAGACGTCCATCATGCTCGCGTCTTCCCTCTGGGGCGCCATGTCGTAGCCAGCCGCCGAGTGCATGGCTTCGTGATGTCGGCCCGCTATGAGGTCTTCCACCTCAGGGAAGCGTTGTGCGCCAGCAATCCGAGGCTCAGCAAGCATGTTGGAAACTTGCATTACCAATGATCCTTGTGTTATCCGCGTATTCCAAAGCCTCTAGAATGAGAGGTTTGGTTGTATGTGTGTGTGGTAGGGGGCGCACCAAGCCTGCCGGTGTCGCAAGAGCTTGGGATGAATGGGCGGTCGTGGAAGGATAAGTGGGCGCGGTGTCTGGATAGTATAGTGTTAGCCGATGGCTCTTTTTTCGCTTTGATGGCATCCGAAATGGGCGTTGTCTTGTTCTGTAGAGTGTGTGTCGGGCTGGAGGCCGTTGGGGGGTCGTCACCGCTGCCCAGTGACGGTCCCCAGGGAGGATAGCGCGAGAGGCCCAGGGGCCGCGTCGCGACGAGATGTAGATGCCAACTCGGTCGCAAGGCGCCGTGAGGAGCTATACATACCGGCAGTGGGTTCAAGGAGCGCAGAAAGGTAGCAGAGACGCTTCGATGCGATCCCGTGTGTCGCCGCTGGATGGCAGCGTCAGGTTAGCGGCCGGAATGCGCAGACCAAGATTGGAGCGATCTGGATGCCAGATCGCGAGCCCAGATGAATGAGATGCTTGATGAGAAGGTTGGAGACTTACGAGAAGGTGGTGGTTGTGGACTGCCACCGAGATGCGTTGGAGGTGGGTTGAGCAATGGCACCGAAGCGAAGCACTTAAGGACCACCCCGACTAGGACCGCTCAAAGGTCACGACGCACTTTCCAGACGCGCCTCAAACCACAAATTGACGGTCGCCTTTGCAATAAAAGCTTTTTGGAATGCAACTGGTAGGAGCAAAATGGCATCAAAAGCACAGCGCATACTCCCCTCCAAAGCATATGCGATTGCGCCTCAGTTGGTGACTAGTATATACACTACTAGGGATGACAGGCCACCCTTAGCCACGCAAGTGGGCTTCAACCGCATTAAAACGGATTAACACATCATCTGTCTTGATCCTATCTAGAGCCTGTCTGTCGAGGCCGAAACATGAGATGCCCCCCCGGCGCCAGCTATGCGCCCAATCGCGACATGACCCTAGAGTGCATGCCACAGGACAAGTCAGTCGCTTGTTGGATGCCAGAACACTTAGGGAAACGTCTTCCTGCTGTAAGACACTAGATGGCATGGTATATGGCCAGCAGGCCGATACGCTGCGTTGCTGGCTTGTATACAGGCATCTGTTCCATGTGAATAAAGGGCCGGGTCAACTTCAGCACCCTGATATCCTCAGGCGCTACGCTGAGCCCTTTGGGGTCCAGCAATGGCGTACTCTGGGTCGCCATTTGCAAAGAATTATGGTTGGAATGCTAGAGAAGGGTGTTGGTCCCCGCTGTGGGTGAAGCGCTGTGGATTCGTTGCCAGCTGTTGCCGGGCGTCTATTGGAGAGATCGCCATGCGACAATCAATGCCACACACACCTGCTTGCCTAGAGCCATTTGGTAGGCAATTGTCCCTGAATGAGTCGCCGCCAGCAGCTGCAAAGGCTCGTGCGACTTGTGAATTACGCGACCCTAGAATTATGTCTACGTCTGTTCCCGAAATCGTCTGATGATCTCCGACCCACACAATATGACGATACAACTAGTAGCGCGAGATCCCGTAATCAGCCCGCGCATAGTCGTCGCACCCGCCTCCGAGCACAAGGACCTGTCCAAAGTACTGCGCTGCCGTTTGTTATCTCTATTGCCAAAATTCCCGACCCTGCATGTGCCCGAGCGATCATGGCGGAAGCACCTGCGTAGCGCGGCATGCGACTTCGCAAATCCGTGGCCAAAAGCTCGGACGGCCGCTCTAAACTAATG